TCTGGATAAGCCAGTGCCGAGGGGGAAAGAGCTCTGAATGTCAAACCATGAGTTTCAACTCCACCTCCAGCTCTGAGAGCTGTGGGCAGGGAAGGGCCCTAGTCCAGTGTGCTGTAGAAAGACCAGTCTGCCACTGTATGGCACATGGATGGCGGGGGCAGAGTGCAGGTGGAGAGAACAGAAAGTGGACAGGGCGGGGGAGGCAGGGACATGGCTGTAGCCGTGGAGATGGGAGGACAGACAGGACTTGGTGGCCACTTGGAGGAACCAAGGCAGGAGTCTGGAAGAGACACCCAGTTTCATATCAGATGTGTGGAGCGTGGGATGCTGCTCATTGATCAAGGGAGGAGGAGGAGGAGGAAGAGGTGTGGCATGGGAGGAGGCAGCTGAGCTCTGTCATGAATGTCATTTGAAGTTCCCAGGGAGAGCCAGGCCCCTCAGCACCTTCACTGCTTCAGCCGGCCCTTGGGGTGCCTGTGCTCCCTGGCCCTCTCAGCTCCCACTTCGTAGCTGTCAGCTGCAGTGGGGGACAGTTGCACAAGGGCCCAGCGTGTCTGTGTGTTTACCCAGGGGACTGCCACGTGGCCCATGCCGAGCAGAAGCTGATGGATGACCCTCTGAACAAAACACATTACAACAACCTGATCTGCCCAGCCACCAGCTCCTCACAGCTCATCTCCATCAAATCGGAGCTCTCCCTGGCCCAGTGCATCAGTTGGTAGGTGCAGAGGACACGTGTGGCTCAGGCTCAGGTGAAGCAGCAGCTCATGCCTAAGCCCCAGGCAATCAGTGTCCAGAGGAATGAAATGACTAGAGTTGACCTAGATTCACCAATACATGGCGGGGAGGCTGGAGGAGGGTCTATGAGGTTTATAGGTTTCCAATATTTAATGCGGTCATGGTTTTGTTAAAGAAGAAATGAGGGTGGGAGCGGGATCACCACTGGCTAGGCAGCCAATGGGCCTGCATGGACTCTGCTCCGCTGTCTCCAGCACGACCATAAGCTTCTCCTCCTCATCCTCCCAGCCCCACCCTACTCTCTCCCCCAGCTTGCTCAGCAGGTAACCTTATGGGCTCCCTACTTGTTGGGGGAAATAAGAACCCGACTGGAGGAACTGATGGGTACAGAGGCCCAGGTGTAGGGGCAGGACCCCAGGCAGTGCAGCCCCTACTGAGCCAGGAGGGTGAGGGTCTGGAGAGTGGGCATGGCTGCTGCAGGCATGGAAAGGAGGCGCAGATGGCCGCACTCCCAGGGACCACCGACAGGGTCTCGATATGTGGACGTGTGCAGAGGTGGGTGCTGAGGGAGGAGGTGCAGGGAATTTCTCATCTTCTCTCCACTGCCTCCGAGTTGGAGATGTCAGAGGGAGCCACGGCCCCTCTGTGTAAACTAACACAGTGTCCCCACCCACAGGGTTAGAACCCCTCCCCTGAAGTGGCTCTGAGGGGAGCAGTCACATGTGGAGAGTGCAGGGCGCTGTGTCCAGCCAGGGGAAGGAGGTCACCAAGGGGGTTGACCCTCCTCTGGCCAGGTGGCTGCCTTCTGACACACCAGCCTCTCTCTCTAGCACAGTGGCCCCCACACACCCAGCCTGTCAAACCTACAGCCCTCAAGAAGGTTTTGGCCAAATGAATGAACAGCTGTCTCCCAGGAGGAAGCACAGCTGAAGGATGCGGAGGGCAGTAGAGTTGTGGATGCTCCGCCCCCTCTCTCCACAGTCGGACCGGAAAGAAGGGGGCTTTCAGCCAGGCTCACCCAGGCTGGGGTCTGAGTGTCACTGTCCAGCTATTGGCTTCTTGCTTAACGGGTCAGCCCAGCTGCTCCTGTGCAGCTGCCACCCTAGTGAGGTGAACCAGCAGGCGAGTGACATGTCTGATTGTTGGGGATACAGGAAAGATTAGGCTGTGGGCTGCTGGGCCAGGAAGGGGTGTTTTTTTTCAGGGTTTGTTTATCTATTGACTTAATGAGGGAGGGTTATAGGTACAACCAGTTTAAAGATGGAAATCTTGAGAGAGCAGGCAGGGACTTAGTGCTGGGTAAGGCAAGCAGGTTTGTCAAAGCAGCTCTTTTGGGGAGGCCAGAATCCTGTACCAATGTCCTCAGCAGGTTCATCAGCTGCTGGGGGAGTGCCGGACAGGGTTAAAGCACAGGAGAACTTTCTGGATGATAGGAATGTTCTATATCTTCAAAGGAGGTGGGATACATGGGTAATGCATTTATTAAAATTGATCAAAATATACACCAGATCTGTGCATTTCACTGAAGATAAATTATACCTCAAATTAAAAACATTTTTTAAAAGACAGATGGGCCGGACGCAGTTGCTCACGCCTGTAATCCCAGCACTTTGGGAGGCCGAGGCGGGTAGATCACCTGAGTCAGGAGCTCGAGACCAGCCTGGAAAACATGGTGAAATCCTGTCTCTATTAAAAATACAAAAATTAGCCAGGCATGGGGACACAGGCTTGTAGTCCCAGCTACTCGGGAGGCTGAGGCAGGAGAATTGCTTGAACCCAGTAGGCGGAGGTTACAGTGAGCAGCGATCACGCCACTGTACTGGAGCCTGGGCAACAGAGCGAGACTCCACCTCAAAAGAAAAAAAAAAGACAGATGAAGGTTTTCAACTTTCACTAAAGGCAGAGTAGCTTGTTATAGATTAGCCTCCCCACAAAAGCAGTTAGAGAAACTGGACAAAAATGTGCCCCCCACCAAAAACAACTGTTTGAAGGTAATTGGAGACCTCAGTCAGGACTTGAGTGACCAGGCCTAGGA